GGCTCTAAAATGAAACAGCAGGTGGTGTTGAGCCATCCCGCGCCGAGCTGTCTGGTAGAAACGACCCTAAACGGGTTTATTGTGTATTTAGATTTGTATTTAGATTGTCCGACATATTTCTCTCCATCCTGGTGATTTTTTCTAAAATCTCCCAAAAGTGCTTTCCCACCTAGCAGGTTTCGTACGACCTAATTTTATCTGACCTTTTTTTTTTTTCGACCTCGTCGATCGGCTGATATTTGGGAAGAATGTGCTTCAAAGACGAACAACAGAGGCTTCAGAGGCCATGAAGAGGTACTTCAAGTGCAGTGAGGGAAAGACCGCGACTATGACGGAGTGCAGCCTCACACCAGAACAGTCAAAAGTCCGCTCGGCGCGGCTCAAGCCCAATTGCCCCCACCCGGTACAAAAAATTAATAAAAATGGGGGAGTACGCCCCTCCCCCTCCTGCAGTCGGCGGTGACTTCGGAGTTCGGAACGGGATCAGCCGCCTACAACCACAGTGCTCAGAACATACTCCCGGGGGGTGTTAGACTCACAGGTGTCGCAAGGTGAGCAAGACTGAAACCCAGATTCCGAGGCCTTACCTCCAAGAGGACTGTTATCTCTTTCCGTCCCGAGGGGTACGCGGGTATCGAACCCACAACCCCGAGTGCCGAATCCAATAAAAAAGTCCGCGTGTGGGGGAAATGTGATTGTTCGCACAACATGTACTAAAATGTGCGTTTTGAAGTGCTGAGAGACTCTGGGTGGGCCACCCCGCAGTACACGCGTGCACAACCAGAAGATGCTGCCTACCTATCAGGCGTTATGCCAGCTTGTCGTCAGGGTCAGTTGACACCCTTGCTTTCTGGACGACCCCTATTTTCGTACGGTAAATATTTGTTGCCACAGGAGCTCTGCGCTCGCTTGTTGCACCATTTCTGGCACAACAGTTCCAGAACAAAGACGAGCGTGGCCAGGCATTGGCAGTACGCGAGCAGCAGAAAGGCCGGCTGCAGCTGGAGTAGACTGAGAGGTTTGGTGATCTGCTCGTCCTCGCCGGGGCGGGTGTCCCTCGCCTGATGAAGGGCCATGGTCCGCACCAGGTGCATAGTCAGGCCGTGTGACCGGACTCGCTCTGCGGCCAGTCCCAGCGACTCCCGCAAGGGGGAGCCCGCCGAGTACATCATGTGTGCTGCAGGCAATGTGCCGCCAATCTTGAACCTGTGGAGCCGCTTCGGGGCGGGCTTTTCATACGGGGCCAGCGCGAGCGAGGTACTCGCGTCTGCTAAGAGAACGACGGCCGAGTTGCGCGAGTCAGCCACTGAGCGCAGAGCCGACGAAATCTCTGACGGGTCAAAGTAGGACATTCGGGATTGGAGTTTGTTCGAGAGCAAGGCGGGCACGAGAGTGCAGAGTTTGTTGCTGACACGCACAGTCAGCCCGCTCTGCTCGAGATGCTCAAGATTATTGATCTCTCCCGGAGGGGCGGTGAGCTCCCTGAGCAGCAGGCCCTGGTAGGCGGCCGCTAGCACCACGCTCATGAGCAGCCAGACGGCGGACAGCGGCCGGTGCGCGGTCCTGCCCGAGGGAGCCTGCGCCAGGAGAGGAGCCAGGGCCTGCAGAGGCGCATCTGCCAGGGCGACCGGGGGCGGCCGCCTCAAGATCGCCATGGCGGCCAGGGCCGTGGCCACCGCGACGGCGAGGACGGCGCCGGCGGTGGCGCACCACAACTCGGCGGAGAACTCGTCCGTGACGGCCTGCAGCAGGGTGGCGTGCGGGTCCAGCCCGGCGGGCACCATGACCAGAACGTTGGCCATGCGGAAGTCAGCGTAGTGAACTGGACCCGGGGGACGCATGATGTGAGATTGGAATAGAAGCGCCGCACTAAGAGTGCAGTCCTTACAACGACTTTTAAGTTCGGTGACGTTTGACCATCGTAAATTTGATTTTGGTCGAATAGAGTTTACCAAGCCCGTTACAAACTCGTGGAATGCTTGCTTGTAGACCACGTGGTGGTCGGGGATGAGGGCGTTCACCCCCAGGGGCGCGCGCTTACCGGCCTTGTGGCTGTGCTTCCATTTCTGGCACATTCGCTTGAACGGCGGACCTCGTCTCTGCCAGCGTCGCGTCAACGGCGACCACGTGTCTATCTCTGTCACAATAACTAGCTGTAGTAGACGGTTACTGTCCACCGAGACGTTAAACAAGACGGTCGTCCCGTTCGGCGTGGACACGGCCAGGGCGGCATCTATCCCCGTGAGCCAGGCCGACGTGATGTTGAGCGGGAGCACATCCTGGACGCTGTCGGCCCACGTCCACAGCAGTACCCGCGAAGCTTCCGGGATGTCGTGGTCGATGAGGCTGTAGGCCCGGTCGAGCCCCCGTTCATCCACCACCAGGATGATGCTGTCCGTCTGTTGCAGGTGCAGGACGCGCCGAATGCCGCCGTAGAGGTCCGTCACCAGTGGCGCCATTGTTCGGGGCACTTCGGGGTTCAGCTGCTCGAGGAACGCGTCCAGCGCGCGGCTCCTGCCGTAGACGAAGAGACTGCCGTGGATGGGTAGCAGGAGGCTCGACACCAGGTCGGGCATACCTCGCGTGTCGACGACGGGCTTCAGTGGTGGCAGGGCGGCCTCGTGATGCGACCCGAGGCAGGCGAGGTGGGCCAGGATGACGAGGAGCTTCATGGCGCTGGCCTGACCGTACCAGCTCTGGCCTGTTAATGACGGCGAGGCCTGCAGCAATCGTTTGCGTTGGGATTTTATTATCGGATTGGACGCGTTGGCGGAAGATCTTGTCGACGCCTTGAACGCTTTCAACATCTCTGCGACCTTTCTGTCGGGTCGTCCTGCTGTCCACTCTTTGACGCGTGTCCGGGACCGGACGGCCCACCGACAGCATTGTCGGCACTCCCTGAAAAGCATTTACCGATCGACCGCGACGCTCACTTCTGACGACGAGGCTTGCTGCCCGCCAAGCTGGCCGCCAGTGCGCACTAACAGACCATTTCAGGTTAGGTGATAAAAAGAAGAAAAGAAGAGAAAAAATCGCATAGGAATTCTAACTTTTTTTGTTCTTTTGAATGTGTTCTTGTTTAGCTCCGGCCGAGGTATTCGACCGCCTGTCTCCTGTCCGTCCTCACCGGAGCGGGCCGGGGAGCGGACTGGTCGAAGCTGCCCGGCGAACGGACCACCAGTGGGTGACGGTGAGGGCGCAACCGAATGGGTTCCATCGACTGATCGTGCACTGAGATCTTTCGTCCTACAATTTGGAAACAGGCTCAATAAAAACTC